AGGAATTTCCTCAAGGGACCCTGGGCTTGACCCAGTACAGGCTCTAGGGACGCCTGTGGACAAGACAGCAAGGATGGCCTGGGTGGTCTGCGCAATCGTCCTCAGGCCAAGGACGGCCTCAGACTCCTGACCCTCCAAACGTCACCTCCCGAGTGCTGAGGCCAGAGGCGCTGTGACGGAGCCCATGGCTTTGGCGCTGCCGGGTGAGCCATCCAATGGGCGCCAGCCTCAGCCCTGCTACCAGCGAGCTATGGGAAGGCTGCAAGAGCCAAGTGCTTATTCCGAGTCACACAGGGGAGCCCCTCAGCACGCCAGCCCTCCTCACCCCTAACCCTCAGCACGCCAGCCCTCCTCACCCCTAACCCTCAGCACGCCAGCCCTCCTCACCCCTTGCAGGATCTTTCTGAGCTCAGCGGTCACTGAGGACTGCTTGTTCTGTAGGTTACTGTCTTGCGGCCAGGCTGAGGGGAGGAGATGCTGATGTAAGGTAAAACTCAGTTTGAGTGCTCCCTCCCGGCTCCCCCGACCCTTGCCGGACTCACCGTCCCCCAAGCCGAGGGTTCTGAGCAGTGGCATCAGTTTCCTCAGGGCGGCAAGCATCTCTCCGGTGCTGCGCCCCCCCAGCACTGTCCGAGCGTCTGCAAGGAGCCTGGAGATCCTGGGGGCAGAGAGGGCATGGGAGACTGGGGCTCAGGCGGCCCAACCCCTCCAGGGCCAACCCAAGGCCGCACCGTTGACTCACAGGGAATCCTTAAAGTTGCTCAGGACTCCGGGCTTCTCCCCGGGCGTTGGCTGCTGGAAACAGGAGTTGTTGACATTGCAGATAAGGCCCTGCAGCCAGGGTACCATGCCCGCGGATGGTAGCGGCTTGTTTGGAAAGTGACCTGGGGGAGAGGCACCTGCTGAGTTGCCCTCGCTTCTGTTAATCGCTAGATTGGGACTCCTGCCACACCCCGTTCCACCCAGCTGCCAAGCACGGCAGGCGAGGCTTGTCCCCTCCCACCACACGCAGCGGGTATTTCGTTTTTCTTTCTTTCTTTCTTTCTTTCTTTTTTTTTTTTTGAGGGGAGGGCGGTTTTCTCGACAGGGTTTCTCTGTGTAGCCCTGGCTGTCCTGGAACTCGCTCTGTAGACCAGGCTGGCCTCGAACTCACAGAGATCCGCCCGCCTCTGCCTCCCATTTCCTGGGCTGGGGTTACCACCACCGCCCGGCTCACACAGTGGGTCTTACACTCGTGGTGCTCCAGTGGGGGGTGGGAGTGGCGGACGGCCACCAGGATGAAGAAGAGGAAGAGGGGCCACAGGAGCTCCACTAGAAGCTGGATCTGGGGGGAGAACGTGTAGGAGACCTCGGAGGACCGTGGTGGACACCTGCCCTCGCCCCCGCACCTGCGTCCCCCCCCCCGGGGGCTTTACCGGCTGTCTTTTTCGATACGTGTAATTTTTCCACAGTAGGAGCATCAGCTGTGTGCGGAAGGCCATGATGACTCTGGAAGGGAGACAGAGCAGAGAGGACGGCTGAAAACATCAGGCTGACAGTGAGCTGTGCGGCTGGAGGTGAATGCGTGACGGTCTCTGATCGATCTTCATCCTCCCAGCCACGGGTCAGCCACGCAGTGCACCCAGCTGCGGGAATCTCCAGCAAAGAAAGCCCCGCAAACATCAAGGGGGGACCAATGGGGGCCCGGCCCGCAGCCGTCTTCGTAGCTGATTGGCTGAGAGGGCTATCGCTCCCGGGGGGCTGAAGGCTGGGGTCGGGGAGACCCCGTTCGCATTCTTAGTGGGCGGGGCTTGGCTTTACGGCCTGGGGCTCCGGGCTCCGCCCTCAGCCTCTTCCGGGACCCAGGTTCCCATGGCCCCCGGCGACCCACGGGGAGACCCGCAAGCCTGCGTCCCCAGTGCGGACCGCGTCTCCTGTCCAGCTGCCTTCCATGCTGCAGAGATGGAAACTGAGGCTCGAAAAAGGGCAGCAAAAAAACAAACAAACAAACAAAAAAAACCAACAACAATCAATCCGTCAAAAGGCGGAGTCACGCTCCCAAGGAAACCGGTGTCGGAAGGACGGGCCGGGCCGGCCATTCCTGACCGTCCCCCGCCCCAGAACTGTCCGCCTGCGGCCTCCTTCGTGACAGACAGGGAAACTGAGGCTGACGACCAGGAAGCGGCGGCGTCCATTTGGGGACGTTCATCTTTTGCACAGTGGGACTTGGGGGCCGGCCTCATCTGGAAAGCGGGGCGCAGCAGGTGCAGGCTGGCCGAGGCCCCCCTCGGGACCGGCGCCCGCTGTGAGAAAGAGCGGCCAGTTTCCCCACCCTCGTGGGAAGGGTAAGGAGGAGCAGGGCGGGCCCGCAGCCCCTGAGTACCGAGGAAGGCGGCCCGGCCCACCCTCACGCCCCACCTCCCACCCTCTCTGGGTCCTCCTCACCATTCCAAGGCCCCCAGACTCTATTCACCTCCGCTCCGCCCGGCAGCGGCGGGGGAGCGCGGCCCCTTTAAGAGGAGCCCCCCTCAACTGAGGTCGACGCCCTTCGCAACCCGGAGTCCCGGGCCGCACCGGGCCCCGCCCCCTAGCGCTACTATTGGACAACGCGCCTGCCACTCGCCCTTCTTTGCCATTGGACGAGGCGGGACCACAGCCTGGGCGCGCCGAGCCGGGTTTCTTAAAGGGACCGCCCGCTTGTCTGTGGCTGCTTCAGGGTGGTTTCACAGGGACGCGATCGAGTTGGGGAACAATGGGGTCTTCCCCTCGAGTTCACGTCTCAAGAAGGCGGCTGCCCTTTGTAAGAGGAACCTCTGTCTCCTCCCCACAAGGACTCTTTCTTAAATATTTGAGAGTGGCTCACACCTTGGTTGGCCTCAACACACGGAGATCCTCCTTCCTCTGTGCTGGGGTTGAAAACATGCGCCATCCTGAGTAACCTTTACTTTTATTTGTTTATTGGGGTAGGAAGTGTTTGTGCATGGCACATCTGGGTAGGTCAAAGGACAACTCCCGAGTCTATTCTTGCCTGCCCTCGTGGGGGGCCCAGGTGAGGACTGAACTCGGTCGGAAGTGTTGACTTCAGGCACCTTTACACCTTGATGCATCTCGCCAGCCAGACTTCTCACAGGAAGTCTCCATGAGCTCACAAAGTGGAGTACCACCAAGTCCGTTCCTCCATGCATTCCTCACTCACTCACTCACTCAGTCACTCCTCAGTCACTGACTCACTCAGTCACTCACTCCTCACTCAGTCACTCATTCACTCAGTCACTCACTCACTCACTCAGACCCTCAGTCACTCCTCAGTCACTCACTCACTCAGTCACTCATTCACTCAGTCACTCACTCACTCAGTCACTCTAACAACACCCTCCCTCCCGGCCCTTCAGCAGTCTCTAGTTAGGTGTCAGTGAAGCACTCTAAGATTGGAATCAACAGTTGCCTGGATTTTGAGCAAAATCCCCGTGTGTTTCCCATTGAGGGAAAAGTCTGGTTTGTTTCACAAAACGGCACTGAGCATGGAGGGCTGATGGGTAGATCTACTGCTCTCTGGGAAGGGCGAGAGTTGGAAAGTGGACTTTGGAGTTGGGTTCTTGAGGACTGAAAGGAGTTCAAAGAAAGCTGGTGAGGGAAACAGCCTTTTCCCCCACCTTAACCCTGACTCCATTCTTCAACTGTAAAGGGTCCCCTGCTGTCACCACCAACTTCAGAAGTGCTCTTAGTCTTAGAAACAGAGGCTTTTACTAGTTTTTGGTCCACACAAGGTACTTCACATTATCTGGCAGCGCAGGGGCGCCCGAGGGTCACTGGCAGCTCTTTTGGAGGCAGGGCGGGCTCAAGGCAGCTAATCAGGCCTGCTCAGGAGGAGGTGGGAACCCAAAGGGATGAGGGAGGGCGGAGGGTTAGGGAGTTAGGAGTGTTGGTTTTGCAGCCCTCGGTCCCAGGCTTCAGATTCCCCGCTGGGCACAGGAGGGTGAGGTCTGAGGGTCTTGGGAAATCAAGCACACCCCCATGCCTTTGTCCCCCCATTTTCTTTCATTGAAACTGCTTGCAATCATGGGCTCACAAACCACAAACTGAAGAGATGAAGAAATGGGAACTGCTTGGGGACAGCCTCTCCCACAGCCAGGAAGTCCACAGCCTGGCTACCCCATCAAGGACCCCAGTGTTCCCCGTGGGTCAGTCCTGGGAAGGAAGCAAGGCCTGATGGGTGAGGAGGGAGCATAGCTAGCAAAGGCTTGTCCGCCCAGTCCTCAGGAAGCTGAGGCAGGAGGTTGACTGCAGTGAGTTCCAGGCCGGAGAGGGCCACAAAGCGAGGCCCAGTTTCAGGAAACAAAACAACACAATGAAAACAGAAACAACACCCCAAGCCTACACAGGGATGCTGATGTGGGGAGCCAGCACCCTGGGGTGCTCAGTAGCCCGCCTCCTCCCGGCAGTAGGCCAGGTACTCGGGGCCCTCGCCATGGCCCTCACCCGCGCCTGGCGCCCCTTCCACTGCTGGACCCTGTGGGCAATACTTGGGGTCGTATATCTGCCGCCCCAGCCCGAAGACCTGGCCACTCTGGTTGGCGCCCTGCGTGTAGCCCATCTGTAGGGACATGGAAGAGTTGTCGCACTTGTCAGTACCCAGCTTGGTGTCGTAGATGTGCCTTCGGGTCCCTGGAGCTGTCATGCCCACCTGGAGATGGGAGAGAGGGGCTCAGGAGGGGGGCCCCTGACTCCCCCAATATATACCCCCTGCAATTCCCTACAAGATTTTCAAAGCTTAGCTAAAATCTTTTCTTTTGGAGAAAGAGTCTCAGACTGGCCTCAAGCTCACTATATAGCCAAGGGTGACTCAGAACTCCTGATTCTCTGAGGGCTGGGATGACAGGCGAGCATGACCATGCCCAGTTTACGCCATGCTGGGAGAGAGGCCAGAGTCTGACGAGCCACGCCAAGAGAACTCTGTACACACTGAACCTTGACCAGCTCCTGACCCCCTGGCCTTCAGAAAGCTGAGGCAGGAGATCCATGGCTGAGCACTCAAGGCTACCGGCTACATAGTCAGGCCCTGTCTCAAACCCAGGCCTCTGCACAAAAAATAAAATAAAAACTCTTTAACCACTTGTAAGCACAAATGTCCCACTTTCTCCTTAACAGCTAGGAAGTCCCTCCACCTGGAACAGAGACGTCCCCAAAATCTGAAGTCCCCAAAAATCTCAGGGACACGGGCATTCAACTTAACAAAAAAGGTAAGACTATCAGATGGGGGTGGGCATTTAGGGGAAACTGAGGCACAGAGGAGGGTTGTCACGCCCGAGAGCACTCGCAGTGAGGAAGACAGAGTTGAGGCTGGAATCCCTGTGGCAGGGGGACAGTGCACTGGGGATCACAGCTTGGGGTGGGACCCACCTGGCTGGCACACTTGTTGGTGCCCATCTGGAGGCTGATGGTGCAGTGGTCCATGGGAGGCAGGATGTGGTTCTTGGGGTCATAGAGATGCCGTCGGGTACCGTAAGCCGTCATGCCCGACTGGCTGGCACATTTGTTGGTGCCCATCTGCAGGGGAATGTGAGGCGTTGGGGGCAGTGCCAGGCTCCAGCACAGTGGGTCTCAACTCCCTAACACTGTGACCCTCTAATACAGTGGCTCTGATGCCGGGACACTTCAGTACAGTTCCTCATGTTGTGATTACCCCACCCCCATTACTTCCTAACTGCAATATTATGAATTGTAATGCAAACTTCTGATAATACAGGATGTCTGGCATGTGACCCCTGTGAAACGATTCTTCAGGCCCAAAGGGGTCTCGGCCCACAGGGTTAGAGCCTTTGGCCTAAAGCCTCCCTGGAGTTCAGGGTGTCGGGGTACTGTAGTACCTACCTGCAGCCCAATGACGCACTGGCCGGCCTTCATGGTGGCGTCGTCAAAGTTCCTTTCTTGTTTCTCTGAGTATTTGACTCCGATGTCCACGCCGCTCTGCAGCCCCTTGGTCTTGGCCTGGGTGTGGGTGAGGGGAGCCCAGAACCCTCAATGCAGGTCCAAACTGCAAGCAGCAGCCGGTGGGTGCAGCACCCCAGAAACCCGTCCAGCACAATCCCCGCAGGCCAGGCCCCACCCTTCAGGCCTGCACCATCACCTCAGCCCCACATAAAGGGACTTCTGAAGTCCTCCCCACCCTGTCTCTTCATGGAAACACTGTTCCTACCCCTTTACAGTCTCCTGTTGAAAGGTGGTAGATTCTAAGCCGCAAAGTCTCTCTCCTCCCTGCCTCCTAAATCAGGCAGAGTGACTCCTAAGAGGAGTGACCCGTGTTCGGTTCACCCACAGCACACTGCCGCCAGCCTCTCTGGACCTTACCTTTCCCGCCAGCGCAAGCAGGGACACCTGCACCTGGGTCATGTTCCCACTCTCAAATAGGTCATTGGCCTCAAACAGGTCCACGGGGTTCATGCCATAGCTGACCATGGCCTTGATGAAGTTGGAGAGGTTTTCTAGCTGGGAGGAGGCAGGGGAAGGGTGGTGAGCAGAGACCCTGGTGTCCAGCTGGGCTGGGCAGGCCGTTCCTGCTGTCTGCCCGCCCGCCGCTCACCTGATGCCAGTTCTGCATAGAGCGGTTGATCTTGGGGACGGAGCCAGGCTGCAGCTTGTTCATGAGTCTGGGAAGAAATGACCCAGGAGCCTCCGTTGGCATCCTGACCTCGTCAAGCTCACACCTCCCTGGGCAACCTCACCATCTCTACCCAGCCTCAGTTTCCCCTCAGCCACCCAGCAAACAAAGCTGCAGACTACGGATGCTAGGAATGCAATCTTGAACCATGGAGTTTTGGGGGAAATCTAAGAATTTTGATTATAATGGTTTTTTCACGTGCAGAACTGGAATATCCAAACAACAGATGCACAGCTCACGAGATGGAGAAACTTCCGGAAGCATTAGCCACTGAAGCAGGAAAGAGAAGGCCTAGGGTTGGACTGTTCACAACTTGGGCATGTAGAGGAATGCAATAGGACAAGGAAACACCAGACAGGGACAGACAGAGGGCCCAGGGTTAGGGTTTCTATTCCAGGCCCTGGGTTCACTCCTGAGCACCCATGTCAGGTGGCTCGCAGCCAGCACCAGGGGATCCGAGCGCCCTCTTCTGGACTCAGAGGGAAGTGCACTCGTGTGCATACTCACAGAGGCACACAGGCACAAACACAAGTAAAAATGAACTAAACCCTAAATAAAATAAAATAAAGACAACAGATAAGCAAAGAGGCTGAAAAGCAAAAGAGAGACTATGCAATAAGAAGGAAAAGAAAACTTAGACATGCGCAGCAAGCCGTGCAGCACAGAGCACTAAGGCTGAGGTGAGCACTCACGTGCATAGGATGACCCCATCTTTCAGACCCTTCTGGAAGTCCGGGCCGATGGAGAGGCCTGTGAGTCCCTCAATCCAGCTGCGGAGTTCAGCTTCCTTCTGGGGGTCGTATTTGGACAGGAGCTGAGGAGCAAAGACCACAGAGCTGAGCTGGGGCACGGACATGCTCTGCAAAGCCTTCAGATGGAGGAGGCCAAAGACAGCAGGGAGGAGACAGAGGGCCTCGTGTAGCCCAGGCTGGCCTCAAATCTGTGGTGCTGGAGAGGACCCTGAAGCAATCCTCCTGCCTCCACCTCATCAGAGCTGGGAGTGAGACCGGAACCCTGTGGGTGTTAAGGGCAGCATCCTGCCAACCGGGGATCCCTGCCTCTGGCTTCACTCATTCTGGGCACTTCCTCTCTGCTGGGGGCTTTGGTGTCTGACTTCAGCCTGTGCTCGCTAAAGACAGCTTCTGGAAGGTCCTCCACTGATATGGTAATGTCCATCAGAGGCCTGTTCTTTTTCTTGGCTGAGCAATATTTCAGCTGGTAGGCAGGCCTCCCTAGGACTGTCTCCACATGACTGGGTTAAAAAAAAAACACCTGAGACACACCTATTTCCCACAGGCTCACACCTGCACACCCCTGTGGCAGCATCTTAGGCCTGGACAGGCAGGGATCACATGGGGAGCCTAGCTGCCCTCCTCCCTCACAGGAGGAATGATTCTTCCTCTCTGTCCTCCCCCAGGGAACTAGAAGGACCCCCGGAGAGCTGCCCTAGTGAGCCCAGCTCCTGCCACGAGGAGGACCACAGCTGGTTCTTGGCTCCTCAGGTCTCAGTTCCCTAGTTTTTGTTTTCGTTTTTGTTTTTTTTCAGCAGGGTCTCTCTGTGTAGCCCTGGCTGTCCTGGAACTCGCTCTGTAGACCAGGGTGGAGGCGAACCCAGAGGTCTGCCTGCCTCTGCCTCCAGAGCGCTGGGATTAAAGGATTGTGCGGCCACCAAATGACCAGTTTCCCCATTTTATGGAGACAGATTGTTTCCTGAGTTGGGGCGTGGCGGGGCTTCCCCATTCCTGTCCTTTTAATCCCTTTCAAGTGGGATTAGCTGCTCCAAGGCGACACAAAGGCTGGGGGCGGTGGGGGCTGCTGTGCCTCGCCCAGGAGCTGCCCAGTCCCACAGGAATGAGCAGGGGCCGGCCCGGGATGCCAAGCGTGCCAGGTCCAGCGGGGCCACATCCCTAAAGGCTCTGAGGGCCAAGGAGGGGGGCAGAGTCCCAGTCCCAACCGCGGCGGCCACCTCCCTCCTGGGCCGCCCTTCAGCGCATTCCAGCCCGCTGGCCACAAACTACCAGGAATGCGGTAGCCTCCCGGGTCCAAATCAGCACCAGCTGTTCCCCAGGACCCTCAACTCGACTGAACAAAGCCGCACTGGATATAGGCCGGCCAGGGTGTAAACTGAGGCACAGAGGCACAATGATCTCTTGGACTCTCCTCCCTGAGCCCTGGCAGGCTGGCGGAGGCCGTTCCTTGTCCCAGCTCCACAGCCAGCCGGAACCTCCGACCTCAGCCCCTGTGCGGTGGTCACTGACCTGTCCCTGCCCCACCCAGCTCCTAACCGCTCCATCCTTGGGGCTGGCCTCACTCTCATCTGCCTCACTTCCGTTGTCCCAGGGAGGTGTCCAGCACCCCGCGCAGAAATAGCCCAGGGCCCTCGGACTCTCAGGCTGGGCGTCTCTGGGGAGGTAGAGCAACTTCCCTGAGCCCGGGTTGGGAACCGAGAAGGCAACTTGTCCCTAGCAGGCTGAGGCTAAGAGGCATCTGGATGCCCTACGAGGCAGGTATGGGGACCTGGCAGGTGCCGCCGGCCGCAGGTGCGCCGGGTGGTAGCTTCTGCATGCCCAGGCAGGTGGCCCGGCTTCGCTGGCTGTGAAGTTGGCATTCCCAGATGCCAGGCGGGTGTGTGTGGTGGCGGGTCTACCCGGAAGGTTCCAGAGTGTCAGGCTCCAGCTCCCCTGAGTTTAGGATCAGTGTCCCCCTCCCCGCGCCCATCATCAGCTCAGGACACCACGCTGGGTGTCTGCCCCTCGGACGCCGGTGACATCCAAGCCCCACTGCGCTCCTCCTAGGTGTGCGGACCGGGAGTCCCAGGAGGGGAGCCACACCCTGTTAAGAAGGCCCGGGTCCCGCCCCCTTCCCGTCCCCAACTTTAGTGGCTGGGGTGGGGGGAAGGGAAGTGTCGGCAGGTACTGAAGACGGGGTCGCTGGGGTGGCGGGCCTCGCGGGGGTCGTTCCTCCCGGATCCCCGCACGCACGCCCTCTCCGGGGTCTTGCTTGCATCTCCCAAGGAGCTCGGGGCGCAGGAAGCCCCCGGGGGCCCGGGGGGCAGGGTGTTCAGGGGCGGGGCTGCAGGAGACGCCCCCCGGGTGCAGAGAAGTGGGGTCCCCTTTTCTCCCAGACCCCGCGGCCCCCAGGTTTACCGGAGCGCCCCCAGCCCTCCGGACTCCGTGCGTTCGAGGCTGCGCCCCGCGCCCACTCACCCGGTTCCTGACCTCGGCCGAGAGCCCGTAGGACGGGCCCTTGTTGAACTGCGTGGAGCTCATGGCGGGGACCGAGGGACCCGGCGCGGGACAGGCGGACCGAGGAGACCGGCTGCGGGCGGACGGCCCGGGACAGGGCTGCGCGCCGCCCCCGCCGCCCATTGGCTGGCGGAGCAAATGTCCTTATAAGGCGTGGAAGCGCCGAATTCCTGCGGCCGCCACTTCCTGAGCCCCTCGGCCGCGGCACCCCCGCCCCACGCAGCCACCGGCACCCGGGCGGGAGCCCCCCCCCCCGTCCCTTCGGAGTCACGGGAAACGGAGGCGGCGAGGGGTGTGGGCTTCCCACCCAGTCCGGTGTCGGTTTCCCTCCCCGCCCTGCGCCGTAGTGAGAGACGGGGAACTGTCGGAGGGACCCCGAAGTCTAAAATCTGTGACGAGAGCCCCTCTCCGCCACTGCGGACTTCCCAGGCTGTTCCCGCCCTGTGTCTGGTCGCTGGGCGCGCAGACGGGGGTGGGGTAGGCCCGCTCCCAGGAGGAGGCGGGGAGCCAGGGCGTCCGCAGGTGAGTAGGAGTCTCTCGGCCCAAAATGAAAGGGCTTCCTGGTGCAATAAAGGGCACAAAAATATGGAGGGTGGGGAAAACATCTAAAAAAACGACAATACAGAGAAACCCTGTCTCGTAAAACCAAAAAAAAAAAATCTAAAACACGAGGCGTCCGTTGCGGAGAGACTGCCAGAAAGGCAGCCAGCTGAGGGGGCTGGCTCTCCTGTCAGGGTGTAATGGCGAGGGGAAGGTCATGAGATGCCCTGGGAGCAGGGCTGGCTTTCTGTGGTTTTGGTTTTGGTTTTTCGAGACAGGGTTTCTCTGTATCTTTGGAGGCTGTCCTGGAACTCTCTCTGTAGACCAGGCTGTCCTGGAACTCTCTCTGTAGACCAGGCTGGCCTCGAACTCACAGAGATCGGCCTGCCTCCGCCTCCTGAGTGCTGGGATTAAAGGCTGCACCACCAACATCCGGCCAGGGCTGGTTTTCAGTAAGTGCTTGAGCTCACCCCACATGTACAGATGGATCAACGAATGAATAAATGAATTAGGTGTGGGGAAACCTGCCTGTCATCCCACAGCTAGGAGGCTGCGGCTCCAGCATCAGGAGTTCAAGGTCATCCTTGGCTACATGAAAGCCAACCTGGGCTACGTGAGACCCCACCTCAACGCAAACACAAACAAGTCAGCCCCTCTCTGCGTGACATTCATTCCTGAGGGACCCCAGCTCAGAGTCCTGCCCGGCCCACAGAATACAGACTGACATCTCAAGATCTCACAGAACTCTCACTGCATGACGGAGAGGGCATGGGCCATGGGGTGTTGAAGCATGGGTAGGAGCTGGATTGGTTTGGGACAAATCCCTGTCTCGGGGCCTGAATCTGTTCGGAGGAGCACTGGGTAAGACAGTTCTGAGCTGGACCAGGCATGGAGCCCAGGGCAGCCATCCTATGTGAGTACTGGTCAGGCTCAGCAGGGCATGGCGTGACTGTGCAAGCAGCCTGTGCTCTGACCACTGAGCAGACATTTCTCCCGTCTCTCCAGCCTGCCCTGCCTACCTCCCTCACCTCACCCCTCATACTTAGAGCTGTGACTCCCGCTCCAGCGACCTGGACTTGACCTGAAGGGCTCAGTGTGTTGTAAAGTTCCTGCCCCGTCTCTGTCCTCATGGAGGAGTAAGACCAGGCCCTCCCTCCTTCCGTCCCACCCCTGAGCTCAAACTAGTTTCCCGAATATTGAAGTGGTTGAAAAAAACAAACAAGGAACACCATTCCATGCTACATTCAACCCTGTCCCTGCTACCCAGAAACGAAAACTCAGACACCCGGAACCCAAGGTATTAGAACTCTAACCTGGAATCTCAATTTAATGGGATTTTAAAATTCCATGTCTTTAACGCCAGCACTCGGGAGGCAGAGGCGGGCAGACCTCTAGTTCCAGGAGACCCTGTCTGTCCCCCCTCCCCTCCAAACAAAGGCCTGCAGGTTTCCTAGCCTGGGAGCCTGGGTTCAAATCCTCCTACGCGGCTCACTGTGATGCTGGTTTTTTTTTGTGTTTTTTTTTTTGTGTTTTTTTTGTTTTTGTTTTTGTTTTTTTTTGTTTTTGTTTTTCGAGACAGGGTTTCTCTGTGGCTTTGGAGGCTGTCCTGGAACTCGCTTGGTAGTCCAGGCTGGTCTCGAACTTACAGAGATCCGCCTGCCTCTGCCTCCCGAGTGTGATGCTGGCTTTTATCAGCCCTCTCTGCACTACGGCTCCTTGTCTGAAAAGCAGGCAGGTTAGTGTTTGCCAAGTGCTGTCGGGACGTCTAGCACAGACGTCAGAAATGTTAAGAATTCTGACTGCCAGAAGTTGATGGGCCCCAGGACAGCCCCGAGCTCCTGTGCTGCTCACCAGGGAGGAGGCGGTGGAGCCCTGGCCGTCGAGCGCAGCGCTGGGCAGGCTGGGGCGGAAGGAGCCTGAGGCCAGGCCGATCTACACGCAGGGCGAGCTCCAGGACAGCCGGGGCCACAGCCCCTGGATCGGCCGAGGGTTCCGCTCCGGCAGCGAGTGACGTGAGGGTTGCACAGTCACGCCGGTGCCTGATGTGGGCAAGGAGCTCTGTGCAGCAGGGGGGAAGCAAAAATATGGAACGCTTCACGAATTTGCGTGTCATCCTTGCGCAGGGGCCATGCTAATCTTCTCTGTATCGTTCCAATTTTAGTATATGTGCTGCCGAAGCGAGCACAAAGCCGAGCGCCTCGCCGCAGGTATTTAAAGGGAAACAATGAAAACATTTTACACTTAGAGGAGTTTCCTATGTGCGTCTTTAATATGTTTGGGCGCTAATTTAAGAAAAGCAAACTTTGGACCGTCTCTAACCGTGACTGTCATGCTTGAAAACGTCCTTACCTGTTGATTAATATTAACCCTCTGAACCGCGATTTCACCCGCAGAGCCTTCTGGGAATCTATATGCAAATTACACAGGCCCACGAGGCCCCGCCCCTAACCCTGACCCAGGCGCTCGGACTCCAGCGTGGTAGGTGCTCCGGGGAAACCCCGCCCCCAACGCTACCGCAACCAATGGAAAACACTATGCTAATGAACAGGTGTAACGATGCCCCCTCCCCCGTACAGGGTGGGCTAACGTGGAACCCTAGGCGAAAGCTTCCTCACAGGACTCCGCCCCTCGGTGACGTACCAACGAGACCCCGCCCCCATGTGCATCGGCTAATTGAAAGCCGCATGCAAATGAGATGGGAGTGCCCCGCCCTCTAGCAATCCCTGTGCCCAGCCGCAGCCAAGGGAAAGCCCGATGCAAATGAGCCGGGTTGTGAGGCCGCGCCCCTCCGCCACCCCGCGGCCCTATACAAACAAACGGACTCCGCGCCACTTGGCCTCTCGGAGCCCAGGGTAACAGCGCGGCCCCGCTCAGCGCAGTCGCGGCTATCGCAGTCCCACGGGCCACGGCTTTAGGAAGCCCCCGGAAAGCAGCCTGGACGACTCCGCGCGACCCCGCCCTCAGCGCTGACGCGGCAGGTACGAAGCTTGCGGGGAACCGTCCGGCTCCGCCCCGCCTCCTTATGGTCCCCGCCTTCCGGCCCCGAAGCCCGGCCTCCTGGGGCGGCCGTGGCGATCCCGGCGTGCCCCGCGCGCGGGCGGCGCTCTGGCCCGGCGCTCTCGCCGGCGTCGCGGGCCGGACGGACGCGAGCGGAGGTGCAGGCGGCGGCGGCCGGGGGCGGCGGGGGGATCCGGCGGCCGGGACGCGGCGGGGGGCAGCCGGCGGCCGCCGGGGAGACACGGGGCGGTGATGTCGGAGCACGCGGCGGCCCCGGGGCCCGGGCCCAACGGCGGCGGCGGCGGCGCGGCGCCCGTGCGCGGCCCGCGCGGCCCCAACCTCAACCCCAACCCGCTCATCAACGTGCGCGACCGGCTCTTCCACGCGCTCTTCTTCAAGATGGCGGTCACCTACTCGCGCCTCTTCCCGCCTGCCTTTCGCCGCCTCTTCGAGTTCTTCGTCCTACTCAAGGTGACCTCCGACCCCTGCCTGACCCGTGACCCCAGCCGCCGTCCCCCTGCCAGGTCCCCACTGCCCCGGCGCCCGGGCCCCGCCTCCTGCCCTTTGACCTCTGACTCTGCAGCCGGGGAGCCGAGGCCCCGAAGCTGTTCCCTCAACCCGAGGGCCACCCTCCCTGCTGTCAACCCCGCCCGCCCGCCCGCCCGCCCGCAGCTGCCCCGTCCCATAGCCAGGCTCCCGTGAGGACCGCCTGTGCCTGTGCCGTTCCCTTCCGACCCGAGCCTCCCCGGGGATCACCCGCCCCCCAGGGTCGCTGTCGCGGACTCTCGCCGGCCCTTTGTGGCTCGTGGGTGAGGTCGCCTCGCTCGGGTCAGCGGCAGGCAAAGCCCGTGCCCTGGGGTGGCCAGGGTTCCCCTGGTCGTGTCGAGAAGCCCAGTTGCCAGCGCCTGGCCTGGCCGTCTTCCTGCCGGGCTCCAGGCGGTTCTGTGCTCTCCCTCCCAAAGGCTGCTCGGCAGGGACAGCCACCGGGCTGGCCCGTGACCGCCGAATGACAGGCACTGGCCATCTGGGGGTGGGGGTGTGCCCTGCGATGGTGGGGCTGGCTCCTGGCACTGCTCCAGAACTCACAGTTCCGGGGGTTCTGCCGAGGTATGTCAGACGTGAGCTCAAGGCAGATGTGAGGGTCCCCTCAGTCTCCAGTCTGCTGATGAGCCAGCGGGTCTCCTCCTTCCTGCCTTCTACACCCTCAGAGTCTCTGATGGTGATGGCAGCCCTCAGCTGGGGTGCAAATGTGTGATCAGAGCCAGCATCTGTTGGGTGACAGTTTACCTCGTGTTTTCTTTGTTTGGTTTGGTTTTTCGAGACAGGGTTTCTTTGTATTGTTTTGGAGGCTGTCCTGGAACTAGCTCTTGTAGACCAGGCTGGCCTCGAACTCACAGAGATCCACCTGCCTCTGCCTCCCGAGTGCTGGGATTAAAGGCTGGGCCACTGCCCCAAGCTTTCTTAATTGGGACAAGCAGGTTGTTTAGCAGCTTGATTCTGGGGCTGCTGAGGTTCCAGGGAGCCCTGTTGTTTGTTTCCTGCCAGTCCTGCCCACTCAGCTTCCTCCCAGCCTCCACAGAG